TCTCTGAACCCAGATCCATTGACCTGCCCCCTCATTTGTTTCCACTGTCATCTGAACCAGACAGGAGCTTATGTCTCTCCCAGGTCCTGCCTACCCGGCCCCTGTGTCCTCACAGAGGCCTGCCTGTTTGATATCACAAGGTCCCAACCACTAGAGTAGACCCATTGCTCCAATTGCTCAACACACAGTAACACATCATGGCTCCCCCATCAAGCAGAAAGTGGCTGTTACTGAAAACTCACACAGAAATGTGCTAGTGACCATGATAGTTATTTTTTGCTGGATACCCATTGTTGCAGACAGACATTTCCCAGTAAATACATCCCAGTCATAAAAAACATATCTGTTTTTATTTGGCTTTCAACGATGTCCCAGAATTAGAGTGTTTACAGATACATGACAAGTGTTTGCTTCTTTTTTAAAGACCCTTTACCCCTGAAATCGCTTTTTGTAAATGCCAGGAATAAAGAGAGGGAGCTAGTGGATGAAGTGACTGATTCAGACTCAAGGGATCCGGGTTCAAATTCCTGCCCAGGCATGGAACCTCACTGAGGGATGGCAACAATAAACCATATCTTGAGCATTTCACTTGGCTTGAAAAGCTTTAGCAAGATCCCTGGAAGGCAGGGACCATTTCATCGCTCATCATAAGGAATTAAAATGTGTTAGGGAAAGCACTTGCAAATATAGTACACCCGGACCCTGTTATCTGCGAGATCCGTATCCGCTCATTCATTGATCCACAGTCGGGAAAATATTAAAAATATTAGAAGAAAAATCCTAGAAATACAGATTTCTAAAGGTGAAGGTACCAGAACTGGCCACTAGAGGGGGTCAGAGACCATGCTGTGTATAGTGTTCTCTATAATCCGCATGTTTCAGCATCCACAAAGCTTAGAACCGATCCCCTGCAGATCCAAGGTTCCTACTCTACCTCCAGATGCAAAATCAGTATTTGTAGTTGAAACAAGATTACAGTGAATCTCACTTGAGTGGGGAACGGTAGAGTCTAGATGACCTTTGTGCTTGTTGGTGAGCCTATCCTCAAGGTGCTGCTTGGGGGCAAACGTCTTGCCCCAGATCTCTCTCATCCTTCGTGGCTTTGGTCTCTGAATTAGACTTGGACCCATTTAGAGGACAGGTCTCCCTAAAAGAGGAGCTGGGGCCACCCTCCTCAGTTCCTACCCAGACCTGGCCAGAAAGACGTGCTCAAGGCAGCCTAGAACCAAAGTCCATTTGGTGGTATGATTTGTGCTCTGAATGTCTTGGGAGATAGGAAGACGGGGAAAGGGGGAAAGAGAGAGATAGATGGGGGGGGGGACATCAGACAGAAGGGTGGGCTGTTTTCCTGAACAGCCAAGACCTGGTTCTCTCTCTCTCCCCCCC